GAGCTGTGATGCCACAGCACTCAACCCAGGGTGACAGCTTGAGGTTCTGTCTCAAAAAAAACAAATACCCAGGTGTGTGGTGGGAGCCTATATTCCTAGCTACTTGGGAGGCTGAGACAAGAGAATTGCTTAAACCCAAGAGTTTGAGATTGCTGTGAGCTGTGATGCCACAGCACTCTACCAAGGGCAACATAATGAGACTCTGTCTCCAAAAAAAGTCATCTAGGGTCAAGCAAGGTATCCCAGCATTTTGGGAGACTCAGGATCACTTGAGCCCAGAAGTTGGAGACCAACCTGGGCAACATAGCAAGTCCACATCCCCACAAAAAATGAAAAACGTTAGCTGGACGTGGTGACATACACCTATAGTTGCTTGGGAGGCTGAGGCAGGAGGATCCCTTGAGCCCAGTTTTAGGCTACAGTGAGCTGTGATCAGGCCACTGCATTCCATTCTGGGTGACAGAGTGAGACCTTAGCAGTTTGGGAACTTAAAGGCTATGCATGTTGTGAAAGTGCTGCTGCTAAAATTTTGGTCACAAGCCACCAGGGGATTGTTCATGGCATCAAGGCTAGTCACTATTTGCACAATCAGGATGAGTAGGAAGGTCATAGTGAGCTATACAGATGTTTTCAAGGCTTTCCTGCCACTTCTTGAAGAGTTATTGTAGGGGGAGGGGGAAATCTGCAATGAAGACAAAACTGCTTTATTTGGGGGAAAGATGCCCATAAACAAATAGACAAATAAATACAAGATATCAGAGCAGAGAAAGAGTAGCCTGGTTTTAAGTTCAATTTTTTTTTTTTTTTTTTTTTTTTTTAGAGACAGAGTTTCACTTTGTTGCCCTCAGAGTGCTGTGGTGTCACAGATCACAGCAACCTCCAACTCCTGGGCTTAGGTGATTCTCTTGCCTCAGCTTCCGGAGTAGCTGGGACCACAGGTGCCCACCACAACACCCAGCTATTTTGTTGTTGCAGTTTGGCTGGAGTCAGGTTTGAACCTGCCACCCTTGGTATATGGGGCCGGCGCCCTACTCACTGAGCCGCCAGCACCCTACTCACTGAGCCACAGGCGCCACCCCTAAGTTCAAAATTGTTTGTTTAGGCTCAGTGCTTGTAGCTCAGCAGCTAGGGTGCTGGCCACATACACCAGAGCTGGTGGGTTCGAATCCAGCCCAGACCCGCCAAACAACAATGACAACCACAACCAAAAAATAGCCAGGGGTTGTGACGGACGCCTATAGTCTCAGCTACTTGAGAGGCTAAGGCAAGAGAATTGCTTAAGCCCAAGAGTTGGAGGTTGCTATGAGCCGTGACACCATGGCACTCTACTGAGGGTGACTGAGACTCTGTCTCAAAAAAAAAATTTTTTTTGTTCACCAAAAATCCAAGATCCTTAAAAAGCTTTGAAGAACAGACTGAAGGCACCCTGTTCTTTTTTATAGTATGTTGGTTGCAGAGGCCTTTTGTTTCATTGAAAATGTTAAAATAACAATTTTAGAGAGGTTTGTGGTGGTGTCAACAGCTGTACGTGAGCACTTAGTGTGAAAATAAGAAAAAAATGCAGACATCTTTGGATAATTTTTTTTTAAGAGGCAGAGTGTCATTTTGTTGCCCTCGGTAGAGTGCTGTGACATCACAGCTCACAGCAACCTCCAACTCCTGGTGTCACGCATTTCTCTTGCCTCAGCTTCCCAAGTAGCTGGGACTACAGGTGCCCACCACAATGCCCGGCTATTTTTTTGTTGCAGTTTGGCCAGGGCTGGGTTCAAACCCACCACCCTCGGCATATGGGGCCAGCGCCCTACCCACTGAGCCACAGACGCCACCCTTTGGATAAATTTTTTAAAGGATTGTTAAGAAGCAAAAAGAGTCAAGACCAATGTTATAAATATTTACTTTTTCCTCATGGATATAATCTGCCCACATTAATTACTTGTATAATATTATTTTGGACTAAGGAGCAAAATGGTTTCAAGACCTAATCTGTCTGTAAGTTGAAGAGCTCTGGTTCCGTACAGAAGTGGCCGAGGAAGTTTTATTGAGAAGTCTGCCAAACACGGGTTGGCCTGCTGGCAAATATTAACACGTTAGTTATCTCTGTTATGTTAAAATTTGATACACCTTAGAACACATTGCAGTATATGTTTTAAGTTTAAGTCATTTTCATAACAACTAACATATATTTAAAATAAAATTTGACCTCATGCAAGACATAAAATATCTCCTACATCTCCTCCTTTTTTCTCTGCCCTTAGCCCTAGTGTTGGGCAGTAGGGAGTCTTTTGACACAACACAAGAAAAATTACACCAAGGCTCAGCGCCCATAGCTCAGTGGTTCGGGTGCCAGTGACATACACAGAGGCTGGCAGGTTTGAACCCGGTCTGGGCCTGCTAAACAACAATGACAACTACAATGAAAAAATACCTAGGTGTTGTAGCAGGCGCCTATAGTCCCCACTACTTGGGAGGCTGAGGCAAAAGAATCACTTAAGCCCAAGTTTAAGGTTGCTGTGAGCTGTGATGCCACAGTACTCTACTGAAGGTGACATAGTGAGACTGTCTCAAAAAAAAAAAAAAAATTACACCAAAGGAGTTAAAAAAAAGATTTACTTATTGTACAAAAGGAAACGTTATTACAGTAAAATGACCTGATAATCACCACAGTGATCAAGTGATCAAATTTATAGCATTATTAAGAGTGGGACAGCCTGACATTTGAGGCCTCCCAAATTGCTAAAGTACATAATATTCTACATAAAGTATTCTTGCCAAAAACATTTAACCTAAATCTCAGCAAGCTTTTCCAGACCCGACTTCTTGTTTACAAGCAAAACAGAGACAAGTTAAATAACACAATGAAGAAATAAGAAGACAGAATTTAAAAGCGACATTTTATAAGACAGCTGTCCTGGTCTTCTCAGAAAGTCAATGGTTTTTATGAAAAGAAGTTAATGACTTTTATTTGCACTAAATGAAATGGGGAGGGCTGGCTTAGATTTAAAAGGCAAAAAAGAGACATAAAAACTAGATGCGCTATGTGAATCTTGGTTAATTCTAGTTTAGAGAGGGTGATAGCTATAATAAATAACCTTGGGACAAGGGGTAAATTTGAATATGGATTGTATGTTAGATGACGTGGTATTGTTAGTTTTTTAATTATGCTAGTGGTCATCTAGTGATGTATGAGATGTCCTTTGTGTACAAGATGTGTACTGGAGTGTGTAGGGGTGAGAGGTCATGATGTCTGCCCCTGTCAAATCTAGCAAATACAAGTGTGCTCATTGTTCTTTCAACTTTTCATTTCTATATGCTTGAAATGTATATATATTAACTACGTGTGTATATATATGATTCAACATATTGTGTATATCAGACAGAGAGGGAGAGAGTTGAGTTCTTTCTTTTCTTTAAGGAACAAAAATTATAGAAGCAATAAATAATTTTTAAAGAACTAATGAATTGGAGGGCTGAGTGCAGTGGCTCACATCTGTAATCCCAGCACTTTGGGAGGCTAAGGGGGGTGGATTACCTGGGCTCACAGGTTCGAGACCAGCCTAAGCCAGAGTGAGACCTCGTCTCTAAAAAATTAGCCAGGTGTTGTGGTGGGCACATGTAGTCCCAGCTTCTCGGGAGGCTAAGGCAAGAGGATCACTTGAGCCCAAGAGTTTGAGGTTGCTGTGAGCTGTAACACGACAGCACTCCACCGAGGGTGACAAAGTGAGACTCTATCTCAAAAAAAAAAAGAAGAAGAAGAACTAATGAATTAATTTTTCCTTCTCTTCTTTTTTAGGCTCAAGAAAAAGGAATATTGGACTATGCTAAGGTAGGTAGTTTTTTTTCTGCATACTACACAGTTTTATACCCTTCAATTTGGTGTTTGACTTTTATTTATATTTAAAAGGACAAAAGAGAATTGTCATATTTAGAGCTGAGGGATATTAAGTAATATGCATTAGCAGGCAGAATAAGATTTATTTAACAATAAGCATATTCATTTTTGAGTGCCTATTTCATTCCAGATGCCTTCCTATTTACTGGGCAAATAAGAGTGAACCAAATGACATCTTTCCTTTCAAGACATTTATAATCTAGTGGGGGAAATAGATAACCATATAAACAAATAAATAGATAATATAATGTCAGGTGTGGTTAGTGCTGTGAAGAAAAATAAACAGATAAAATAACTAGTCGATGTTGGAAAGATGCTGAGGCCTATGGATGAAAGACAACTTTTGGCACCATTAGAAAATACCTGAGGGATGGCCGGGCGCTGTGGCTCATGCCTGTAATCCTAGCACTCTGGGAGGCTGAGGCAGGTGGATTGCATGAGCTCATGAGTTCAAGACCAACCTGAGCAAAAGCGAGACCCCATTTCTACTAAAAATAGAAAAACTGAGGCAAGAGGATTGCTTGAGCCCAAGAGTTGAAGGTTGCTGTGAGCTATGATGCTACAGCACTCTACACAGGGCAACAGCTTGAGACTCTATCTCAAAAAAAAAAAAAAAATATCCATGGTGCCCATGGCTTAGTGAGTAGGGCACTGACCTCATGCACCAACGCTGTCAGGTTCAACCCGGCCTGGGCCTGCTAAACAACAATGACAACTGCAACAAAAAAAATAGCTGAGAATTGTGGTGGGCACCTGCAGTCCCAGCTACTTGGGAGGCTGAGGCAAGAGAATCACTTAAGCCCAAGAGTTTGAGGTTGTTGTGAGCTGTGATGCCACGGCACTCTACCGAGGGTGACATAGTGAGACTCCTGAAGGCAGGAGTTCTCAGCTCACATATGAGGACAGGTGAAAACACATGTACCTAGGTATCGCTGGCTCTTCCTTCTTTCACCAAATCAAAATCCTCTGATGGGGAGAGGAGGGCAGAGACAAGCCAGAGTGGTTTGAAAAGTCTCCATTCTGCCCCACAACCTGGTTAAAAACCACTGCAGGAGTTCAGAATCAGTGTGCCAGTGCAAGTCCATGAACACACATGGGTGACATTCTGTTTTCCCCTCAGGGACAAACGAAACATTTAGCAGGCGTGTCACACGCGTACAGCTGCTTGGCTAGAGAAGCACGCTAACCATCTGATTTATGCAACTATCCCAAATAGGCAGGGTGTGATCACAGCTGTATGCTGAAGATGGGGGGGAAAACACAGCCTGGAAGGGTCCTGCTTGCATTGGGCCAACAGAAACCCACAAAGACCTCTCCAGGGCTGATGTGGAACCTTGTACTTCCCCGGCAGCCCAGAGGTGCACGCCCCTGGCTCCATGCCTCGCTCCCTTTCCTTTTCCTAAAATGCAGTCACTCCTTTTATCTGCCTCACTCCTTAAAGAAAAACTAGGTAGGGCGGCACCTGTGGCTCAAAGGAGTGTGGCGCCAGCCCCATATGCCAGAGGTGGTGGGTTCAAACCCAGCCCCGGCCAAAAACTGCAAAA